GAGCAAGGGGGAGGAGAGAACTGCTTTGGTACCCCTTGATTTACAGAAAGAAATTGGAGTCAATAGTGTGTGTAAGGGCTGTTTTACATGAAACTCCAATAAATATCCTGTTATGTCCCCATAAAGAAACCCTGACTGGACTGGATCCTGCAGCTGCATCCATACAAATGAACACTGCTGCACAAATGGCTTGTTGCTGTTGTTAAAGATACTAAATGGACTGAAAACCAAAGGCAAGAAACACAAACTGAAGGAGACTTAACATCAAATTCTTCACTTGTGCAAAGCTCTGAGTTTAGTGCATTTCAGATGGAGTGCGTGGTACAATTTACATACCAACTACATATTAAAAGAAACCTGTTCTGATGAATTGCATAAGATTGATGCTGCTAAATGTGTTTTCAAAGCAATGCTTTTTGACACGTGTTTTATATTAACAATACAACTTTGCCAATTTATCTGAGAAATATACCAGTATTTGTATTTTCTTTGTACAGCAAAATGATTCCTTTACACTTGAACTCTGTTCACAGGCAAAGGTAAGCAGAGACTTACCTTTCTAGGTATTTTTTTTTCATTTTTTTCTCTAATTAAAATTACAAAAAGTTAAACTTACAATTTTGGTCAATAAAATTTTGCTTGGATAAAAAAAATTGGTATCAAATGATTTTCAGTTTCAGTTGCACAATCTTAAAGCAGGTGGCCACTGAAAGCACTGGAAAATGGAAATTGTGGTTATACTACAAGCCAATCTTTTCACAGTAGAAAAATTTTTATTTCGTGCTTTTGATAAAAAATTTTCTTTTTACATTTTTGGGACTCATTAAATATAAAACACAGTACAGCAGAAGCAAGTAAAAAGAAGCTAGAAGATGTAATGGATTAGATTTAGCATTTCATGTATTCTAAATTTTCGCTTTTGATTAAATTCGTTATCCACAGTTATATGGTGGAAATAAAAACAGTTACAAACTTTATGCACAAAACCTAAACATTTAATTGTGAAAGTTCCTTCAGTAACTAAGATCTTAGAGACAAAACTCAGTCCAGAGGTATAGTCAATAATTAACATTTGCATACTAAGAAAAGTTTTAAAACATGTGTTACCTGGAAGGCAGGCAGGTCAAGCACAGCAAAGCTATTGAAGAAACGTAAACTCTGAATGGCAACCTGGACTGTGTTGGTGGCATAGCTGTCTTTAGGACTGGCTGTGTTTGGATCTGCAATTGTCCCGTGGAAAAGAACACAGTACAGCATATGCAAAACTCCAACCAGATCTGTAGCCTGAAGAACTGCTGTTAGTCCTGTGGGGTCCTGGCGTGTGTTGTCAAAAATGTTCCAAGACCTGCCAAAAAACATCGAGCCGGCTGAGGAGGAACTTGCCCGGGATACAGCACGTGTTAGAAAAGCAGTAAACTGGTAACAAGGAAAAAAAACCAATGGCTAATGTGTCAAGAAACCACAGCACTTCCAGAAAATACTTTCAATAATTAGGGCACCATCTCACACCCTCTAATTGCAGTGCTACTGTGTTGTTCAACATCTTTCTTCACATCCTGGGGCTTGTGCTCGAAACCAGCGCGAGAACAAAGATCTGACAGCTCTGAAGTTGGAAGCCTGGGGGCACTTGGGGAGCACTTTAGGGGCTCCAGGCAAGCCCTGTCTCAGGTCAGTAGCTTACACTCACCTTTCTTGCTTGCAGTAGCAGCCAGGAGCGTGGGGGAACTCCCTGGAGCCCCTCAGTGCCGCATGACGGGCTGCAGGCACGGGAACAAACTGCCTACCTAAGGAGCAAAGTTACTGGGAACAGATGATCTTAATCAAATAGCTCTGCAGGAATGAAGTAGCTGTGCAGTAAGAAAACACACTACTTCTTATTTAAGTCAGATGCTGTTATGGGAGAGTGCACAGGGCAGCAAAACACAACTAAGCATGAAACGCTCAAGACAAACCAGCACAGCTCGTGCACGTGGGAACTGGGTTTCTCTTCCACCTTTTGGGTATGCACATCAAATAATGGGGAAGGCTTTTGGTTATCTAGGATATCAGCACAGACAGGCAAATAACCCAGGATGCCCTTTCCATTCTCACATCCAAACTTTAAAAAGCACTTAACATAACCCCTCCATGATTTGTACTGCTTTAGTTTTTTCACATTATTAATAATCCAAAAGATGATGCAGGACAATGACTACTAAGGAAGACTCAGATTGTCTCTACCCTGGAGGCTAAATAACATGTGGGAGGCAGGCAAGTACAAAATAAAGCCCAAAAATAATTCAGCAAGTTTCATATACTCAGAGTTCTAATTCAAACCCATCACGTAAATTACCCAAACTTACACAAACTTCACTTTGGAAACACATTTAGTTGATACTGGTAATCAAAGGAAACACTAAAACATTAAGATACAGTGAACAGTAACACTGAAAATATGCTACATCAAAATCTAGCCCTTATCTACTACGTCTCCATCTTAAAAAAAAAACAACAAAAAACAAAGAAAAGGAAAAGAAAAAAAAGAAGGAAGTGTCAATATCGAAGATATTATTCTTTTTTATAATTAAAGGAAAACATGACAGGTGATAAGAGAAAATATTATAAAAACCCAAATGAATGAGGATATTTTTCTCTTTTATAACAAATAAAAGCAAAGGAAAAGGGAAAGTAGTGGAAACTAGAACCACTTTCTGAAATACTCTGCAACAGTGAAGACCAGACACGCAGAGGCCTCAGAATATTCCTGTTGACCAGAACCAGTAAAGAGCTTTCCCTTGACTAGAACAGCTCTAAATAATCTCTTCTGTATCTGTATCAGAAGCACCTCACACCCCTCTGTTACAGACACTGCTCTGGCTCCAGTGACGTTTCAACACAGATCCCAGGCAGGCTGACTATTCCTGCTTTTTACAATACAGACACTTGTCTTCAACAGAGCAACTAACCCATGAACTCAGCAACTACCAACTTTTGGCAACCACCACCTTGTTCTGTTGTTTTCACTTTTTCTAGTGAAGCAAATAAAGCAGGTAAGAAAGCACTGCCTCCCCCAACCCAAAGTCTGTTCACGAGAGTTTCTGTTTGTAACAGCACCCCCTCGCTTCCTTGGACTGAAGGGAAAAACAGGCAGAGCAGGGTAATGAACCTGCCTTCTCCATGTCCCAGAGGAGCCCTAAGCCCAGGGGAATACAACAGGACAGTATTTGGGTTGTACTCAACTTGCTCTACTGGCACCCCTCTGCTTCCATCACTGTCTGCTCATATCTTTACCTTCACAAAGCAGTTGCTCAGATGACTCACCTCTGCTTTTCACCAGTTGGATCACACGTGCAGGGAGTGATCTTACCTGAAATTAGCACTTATGGGTACAATTTCTTTCTGAGTTATTTCTATTTACAGTCTGTGAATGTTCAATGCTACTGAAAAAGCTTTTAAGCACAGTGTCCTCTGCTGCTAGCTCCAGGATCAATGCCCCAGTCCTACTCCTGAGATACCTGTGCTGTACAAAACCCACTCCAGACTGCAGAAGTAGTTCACAAGTCTCTGAAAGAAGCAATCAGATCTTTAGTGAAACACAGTAAGAACAAAAGAAATGTAGCTGTGTCTGTTTTCCGTAAGACATTAAGATTTACTCCATAAAGAATAAAAAGTAGAAAAAATACTAGAGTTCTAAGTGTGTTTGGGTGGGGCTACACTGCACAACAATTTATGGCATGGTTTTCCTCTTCCTACGCCTGGAATCCATGGCCAAAGTCTTCATTTTGAAGCTCTGTGGTCTTTAAGTGAGTGTGTGTGAATGGAGTCAGCAGAGACACTTCCTGAGCCATCACCTGGCCGTGCCAGCTGTGCCTTTAGGCAGATTCCTGCTGCACAGTTCCAAGCCCTGCTGGCACAGAACCTGGCTGCAGAGCCAGACGGGATGGCTGCAAAAGGAGGGAGAGCAAACAGGTCTGGGACCACCATGGTTACAGCTTTGCTTTGTGTGTCTGTGGACTCCCCAGTACTCCTCACTTCAAAATACCTTCTGATGTCCAATGATTTATTTTGCAGGATGCAGTAGCCAAAATGTGCTAACCATCACTTAACTCCTCCTGAGTGACCAGAATGTTTATTGCCACAGGGATCACATGAGAGCACAGCTCATCTTGCCAACCAGTATTTCTTAATTTCAATCTTAACTTTTTCGGCAGTATAAAACAGAAAAGAACACTCACAGTCAAATGATAACCCCAAATTAATTACTGCATATGATACCTCACAGAATTTTTTCTGACTGTATGCAATGAGAAGATTGACCAATTTTACCAAAGGTTAAAGTCAGCTTGCTTTCAACTCTCACTCCATCATTATTTTTAAACAATTCCATATGAAAAAGCTTACATTGCTGGATGAAATCCTTTTACCATTTTTTGCTGCTCTGGAGCAGAGAATGAATCAAAATATACATAAAAAAGTCAACTGTAAAATAGCTCAAAATGCAAACATTATTTTTTTCACAGAAAAGACCAAAAATTTCAAAGTTATACCACAGGACAAAGCTGCTAAAAAGAAATTAAAAATCTCTCTGCTAGACCTGATGGAACGAATGAACTGCCAGAAACATTTATTTTTGATGTTGCCTGTATTATGGTTCATGGGTATATGAACAGGCCACTGGTTCCTGTTGGGTTGAACTGTCAGTTACAACACTTTAAGCCTAAGTGTTTACAATAAAAAGGTAAAAGATGATATTCATACTCACTGTGGGCTTTAAAGTATCTTTAAAAAATCTACACGAGATGTCGGAAAATAAAGCACAAACTTTTCCATTTGGTACTTTGAGTGATTTTGGTCAAGTCTGTACAGCAGTGCATTTCACACATTTATCAGTCCACCTCAAAGGAAAGCCCAGTGAAAATTCAGTGCTGACTGAGAGGACAGACTGAAGTAAAAACCCCTAAAAATCTTCACAACATAAGATGACAATGTCCCGCCAGAAAACCAGGTTTTAGGTAACTGAAATTCAGAGAGGAGATTCCTGTAGCTGTGCTTCCTTTTAATTCTCCTGTTTAAAGAAGCTTTGTCTCTGTGTCTGTGACAGCTGCCAAAGTAAAATAGTCACTACGGACAAAACCCCCTCAATTAATCCCTGGAGGGAAGCAAGACTTACCGGATTTTTTACATTGGCTGATATAGCTGGGAAAACAGACAGGCTTTCAAACTTTACCAGTCTTTATATTTAACATAGAAAAACAGGCAAATATTTATATTACGGTCAAACAACCTGCAGGTTCTTAAAAAAAATAAAGTTTTCATGAAATGCAGGGAATTTTCATTAGGGGTCACCATTATGATTTTCAGCTTCGGCCATCCAGGAGTCTCAGGAATTGGTACGGGGTTTACGACTCACAAAAAAGGTTTAAGAATTTAAAAACATGGATATATTCATCACATGAAAGAAAGATACTAAACAGTGGTACTTCATTGCTTAAAATACACCACTATTTATTAAAAACAGGAATTCAATACAGCTTGATGAGAAACAGCATACTCTGCAGAACAAGTATAAAACTACAATTTCTCCAGGCTTCAATAGGAGCAAACTGTTTATATCTGAAAATATATTGTTTTAAAAACTGACTGAGCTAACAAGCAGACAAGCCTCTCCAAGGGTATACATTGTAATGTTTGTATATTTGAAATATATACTCCTGATTAAAAACATGGAGCAAAATGGCAACACGAGTTTTCAACAGGCTTAGAATATAATCTGTTGGGGTTTTTTATTGTTAGGATTTAAAAACTATCATCGGTACTTTTTGCTTTTAAATTATTCTATTTAGAAAGAGATGTCAAAATAAAGAGGCAAAATAATAATAAAAAAAGAATAAAGAAGCATTTAGCACCTATCAGACCCTGTTACAATTCACACTGTCAAGGTAGGGATTGCACTGCTGCGTAAAAGCGATGATGTGAAACCTTTTAGTAATTTCAGGAACAAGTTTTAGGTACTTTAGTACTTGCTGGAGCTGCTGTCCCCTGGAAGTGGTGAGAAGCACAACCAAGGTTCAGACAGACCTGCATCTGATTCGCCATCCAGCAGCCAAAACAGACATTATCTTAATTACTGTAATAAAACCGAAACCAGACCAGCCTCCTTCCTTGCGTATCTGTGAAACAACAGTCATGGTTTCCCAGGATCAAACCCTGAATCTGAAGCTTTCTGCCATTGCATCTTGTAATCCACAACTGAGTTAGCTGTTGACACAGGTTTATATATATTCCACACTGGTTTGAGATAACATAGAACAGTAACAATTTAGTTACTGCACTGCTCCCACATTCTATTTTCCCAGATTAACAAGGGAGCTTGCAGACATTTCTCACATCAAGAAAACAGCAAAATTTTTAAACAGCTTATGTCCCAAGAAACTACATAATTTGAGGGACTATTATTTGCAATATTCTCCTTATGCACAACTCACTTTCCTCCTTGCCATGTGTGTTATTGCTCTCCACTGTCCCGCTCTTAGAGAGAACGTTCTGCCTTTGTGATTTACCCTTACACTACTGCTGATAATTTCCTCCTGCTCTTTGCATTAACTCTGTGGTCAGTATGAATTTATTCACTCATACTAATGGGCAAAAGTGAAATAAGGCACTGACTATAGTCCTCCATAGAGTAACAACTAAACTTCTAGGACAGGAATCTTAGTTCCAGAGAATTACAGGGGAAAAAGGCATCTAGACTTGATGAACACTGGGAAAGACAGGAAAAGACAGGAACATAAGCAAAATCCTTGCTATGCTGAGGAAGGACTTGCCATATAGATTTTTACCTAAGTCTTCACTCCTGATTTTAGGGAAAGCTGAGCTAGGGCAGCATGGCCATACCTTTATTAATGCTCCTTGCATTCCATGCCTGCTCATTGTTTTCTGTCCTGTGGGTACAAGCCAAGCACATTTCATATGTGTACTCAGGACTCAAGGGCCCAAAATAGGCTTTGTATCTCTCATATTTACATTAACACACTCTGGAAAACAGGGCTATCATCCTGAACGTTGCTACTGGACATCTGGAACTGGACACAAATTGCAAGAGATTTATATGGCCATATAAACCACTGTTATGCTGTAGATAGTCTATTTAATATTTTGCTTTATTTCAGGTTAATAAAAATGTCTCTGTTGTCAATTCTGGCTACTGTTACTCTTAGGGGTGAGCAAACAACAGTTAAGCACTATTATGGACACAGTTTTCAAGCCTAAGTATCAAATGTCAGGTTTATCTCCTGCTCGGCAGAGAGAGCTCAGTATTCAGACATGCTGCATTTTACCATCTCTCACTACATACAATAAGGGACAATACCCTGTTTTCAGCTCTCATACAACTTTTTAACTCATCAGGGAGAAAGCAGCTTTCACTTCCACTGATAGCAATGGATCCAATACAGCATCAGAAATATGGGATTTCCAGTTGGAGGTCTCAAGTCACCCTCAGTGACTCTCACTGTGTAACAGAAGAGGGCACAGAAATTACAAAATGAGATTAAATGTGGTTACAAGTTCTTAAGGTTTTCAACAAACGATCTCTCATATGTATTACACTGTTTGAAAACTGTGCTTTTACATCCATAGCAAAACTTCAATTACAAGAATCAATCAAGCATTTATTAGCCAGTATCAAAAATTATCATTTGAGAAATAAGATCAATATCAAAGTTAAATCTTTTTAAAATATCTTGATCAGTAATGAAAAGAAATTCCCTCTCTTATACTAGGATATGTTTATAACAGACTGGATGGATTTCCTTATTTCAATAACATTTTATGATTTTAAAATTGAGAATCCTCCAATTTATGTTTCTACATTAGTAAGATTTTGGATGGGTTTTTTCCCCACAAGTCTATCACAGTAATAAAAGTCTCTTCACTCATGTCTTAAAATTTTATCATCTACATTATATCAACCATAGACCTCATTTAATACTTAATGTTGATATATATATATGTATATATATATATATGAAACAATTGAGGTTATTCTCTAATAATCATTATTGTTGTGACACCTTGCTTGATGCAGAGGTAGGTGCAGGGAGGTACTTGACTGAGATCTCTTCCCTGCCTCTCTTCCCTGCCTATAGAATTGTTTCCTTGAAGTAACTGCCCAAATAAACACTGGGTATCAATTGGTTTAGAAATATTCAGCTAAATTTGGGAGTTTTATGAAATGTTCTTGGGAGGAACACAGGAAAGTCGAGATTGACAGCTCTTCCTGCATCAGAGCTCCAGAAACAGCCCAACCTACTTTGTACTCACAGGACAGGATCTTTTAATTGTTTAAAACTAGAGTTTGAGTGTTTAACTCCTGGCCCTCTGGGGATATCACAGATTACAGTTGCAGTAAAGTTTCTAACAACCTGGTGGGGTCTGAAAGCAAAGGAGCAGGATCCCACAGCCATTTCCAGCTCATAAAGAATTTCATTGTTGCACTGGGTTGGTTTAAGCCCTGAGGTTGTCCTGGTCCCCCACCCAACATTACCTGTCCTGTGTCAGCTTCCCACTCTGCCACTCAGTGGTGCTTCCTGCTGAGATCTGCCCAAGTACAGACAGCATTCTATAAAAGCACTCTAATGCATTTCATATGGAATGACAACCTTTTATATGACAAATAACAACCTCAAAATGTTCTATCAGAAAAAATAAATTAATTTTGTGTGTCCCCCACCATTACCATTGAGGAGCATACAGAAGTTTCCAAATATACCAAAAGAGCAATCCAAAATTGCTCTTGCAACAATGGTGAAAGCCTGACATTATTCTGCCAAAACAACTTCTCATTCTACAGTATCACAGCACTGGTAATACCTACTGGGCTTTCTCCTCCCAGTAACAACTTCAGACATTTGATGACCAGAGGGGTTGGTCACTGTGACCTACAGAGGGGTGTAATACTGCAGGTTGGTTTGGTGCTCAAGGAGGTATCAACTGAGCTGGAGAAGAAGAAATGCTGCATTGCCTCCTACCACCATTTCCCAGCAATGAAAGAGGACCTGTACTCACAGAGGGGCTGTCTTTTGTACTGCAGATCAGGTATCACACATGATGTATTACTGTAGCATGACATATGTAAGAATTCAATAAATTTGAGCTCTTTTTCTGCCACCTTAATCTGTGTTTGGCAATACCTTTTTCCATTTAAATCACCCTGAATACTGAGGACTTCTGTAAAGCGACAGAATTACACTCTGCATTCACTGCTTAAATGAGAGTGGGCTCAGGTGATGAAAGACATTTGATTTAAACTGCCCTTCTAGTCAGTTACACCAAAGCTTTTGATCTGAAAGACAACAGTTTTGAAATCTCCAACTTCATTCCTCTCATTTCTTTTCATGCTCAAATGAACAATCCGACCTGGAAACGGAGAACAATCAGCTGTTATATGCAGGTAGTAAGATTGGATACTTCTTGGTGTAACTGGGAACAAAAACACTCAACTCTCCCAAATTATTCTGCTGCTACAAAGAACAGATGTTCTTGAAGGAAGTACTCGAGCAGTGCTGTACTATTTTGGGGTGCAGAGATCTCTAATGTTTGGGTGAAGTGTGTGCCTGCTCCAGAAATTGCAAATGCTGTATTACTCACTCTTGCAGCCAGAACTATTATTCCACTAACAGAAGAGTGATTTTTTTTTTATTATTTTATTTAGTGAGCATTTGACTTCTGGCAGCGCTCTCCTGGAATGTAAAATGCCAAGTTGGCAGCTTTCAGAAAGGGAAATTTCAGTAAGTTGGGATGGTCTCTTTGGGCTCATATTTCTTGCAGTCCTTTTTCCATGTGCCTGTGTCCTTGGGTTACCAGCAACAACTCTTACCTACAGCTTTGTTTCTTCTTTTATGTTTTATTAACTTTGGTTTTTCAACCCTAGCATCGTTTTACCCTTCAGGAATGCATTGTAAAGTTCTGTCAGCCTTGATTTTTCCTGAAATGCATAAGAGTGACAGTGGTAGGTTCCAGTAGGTGCAACCCAAAGCTCTGTAATTTTGACTCATACGAGTGTCAGGCTGTCCTACACTGTAGAGCATAGAAGTCCAGACCTGGTGGGAGGCACATATCTCATGCACATTCCCTACAACCCTGGTTAGGTTACAAAAACAAACATTTTGCTTTAGAAAATTCCCTGACAAATGTAGTAATACTTTTCTTTGTAGAAAATAGAATTTCCTTACTGACAGTGGTATTTTAAAGAACAAGGGCTGCTCTAGAGACAAATCAATTAAGAGTTGCTTTTTGCTGATAATAAAATACCTCCTGAAGTCCTTAGGATTGGACACTTAAAACTATCAGTGATCAAACCCTGTCTAAGGATGAGCAATTTCTAATTCTGATCAATGACTTACAAGACTCAAACCACGGCGCAGGCAACTAATACCAATTCACTGGTGAGCGGGTGAGCAGAGTGACTCTCCTGCACTGTTTCTTTCCCAGTTATTTCTCTGCAGTCCCACAGCAGAACAGTTCTGTCTGACAGCCCCACCAGGACACTCCCTTCCCCAAACTGCTGCTGAGCAGGACATTATTGCTGACAGAGCCAAAGCACCCACCTTCCATTGACAGTGAAACACAGCTGGCACATCCCGTGCAACACGGCCGTGGCATTCTGGAGAAAACTTGCTATTTTGGGATTCTCATCAACAGGGCCTTGAACAGAGAGGAAACAGCAACACAGCTTGTCTACCAATCCTATGTTCACCACGTAACTAGAAACAGAGGAAAAATTGTATTAAAAAACCAGTCACACACCAGTTTTGGTAACTTTGCAAAAGAAGACATTTTTGCTTCTCTACTATCAAATCACATGAAATGCAGGTTGTGATTACTTTAATACTCTTCCTGAAAGGGTTCAATAAACCAATTCTAATTACAAGAACTTCAAGTCTGGCTCTGTGTGACTATCAGTAGTTTTTGCTAAGAGGTATGTCTGTTGTAGGATAATTTGTATTATACTGTACAACAAAGATGAGTGTAAATGTTTATTTTACCATACTGCTAGAAAGACAATGGAATTTTGCCATAGTTAAATGATTTATAATAATCTTGATAGCTCTGCAACAGCACAATTTCTTTTTAGCATGAAGAGATAAACTTTGTAGAACACACTAATTCAAGAAGACAGTGATGTTACCCAGATAGCATTTTATTGCAATACGTATATCATAGCAACTACTGCCCAGTTGTTGGGTTTTTTCCCTCATAAATATATATGTAACAGCTCAGGGACTAATAGAATATGTAGGTAACAACCTCCTACCATCAGTATAGAAGGATCAGGATCAAAAAACCTCCTCAGGAGCTCAATCAAATTCAATGCAGAGAAAACCATGCTGGTAATTTTTTTTTTTTTAAACTGAAGACTCATCTTTGGTTTTTATTACCAGGGTAGATCAGATCACCATTGCTGATCATCAGATCACTACTGCTGAAGTTTCTTCTTTGAATTCCAACAGATTGGAAACCTGTGCCAAAAAATTTCCTCTTTGCCCTTGTACCAAGATCTCTTTGTCCACACCAGGTTCTCTCATACTTTGATCATTATAACTCCACTTAAACTGTGCACACAGATACATTTTTTCCATGTCACTTTGTTAAACATCCAGCTGCTCAGACTTCAGTCCATCTCAACCACCATGTTTGGCTGACTTAGGTGAGATCAACCCTCTTTAGGGACACAAAGGTCCCACTGCAACCACCTCCTTTTTTTTTCACCTCTAATTTTCTTTGTGTCTTATCAAGTGGGAGAAACCTCTTGTCAAAATCAGAAGCACTGCTGTTTTATCCTGTGCCTCCACCTGACTTAAGACACGGGGAAGTGATTGCCTTCAGACACCATCAAATGATTCACCCTTTTTACACTGATTACCTATGCTGAACCTGTTACTGATATTCCTCTGTCCTACCAGCTGCTCTGTCTGCTTGCTCCTCAAGTCCATTTGTTAGAGATGGCCTCTCAGAACAATGGCTTCTTGAGAAGGGAACACTCTTGGCCCTATGTTTCCATAATGCCCAGACGACCCTGACTTCACTAAGCAGGGAACATTATTAAATAATGTTGACCCCAGTAAATAAAGACTACTGATCACATAATGCTTCCCTCACAGATGCTGTTCAAGTATTTATTAAAAATACCTGTTACTTCACAACATGTCTCTCAGTCTGATTTGTAAAAACAGAAGGGTTTAAGATTACGGAAGAAAACCTCTTGCTTTTCAGACAGTCTAGTTGCTCAAAGGCTGATTTCTCTTCAGGGCTAGAAGACAGACCTTCTGCCAAAGTTCACCCTGCTGACACATAGCTTTTGGAAGCAGTGAAAGGAATTAAGAATAAAAATACACTAGATATAAAAGTCTAACTAAAGCATGAAAGACTTTAAAGCTGTTGAAGTACAGCAGTTAAAAACACTTAAAGATGCACGAAGGTTATTAATTGCACACTTCTTGTGCAGGTAAATTTGTCTGTTCTATTTAATAACATGAAAGGTTACCAGCATTAGGTTTCTTGCAGATTTTGATCTCGGTAATCCACCTGATTGGACAGGTGATAAGCAAGTTCTCCTGTATTAGCAGAATAATTCCAGGAACAGAGCTGGGTGTTAGATACATCACAGTCACAGAGAAATGCTGAGTGCTGGAAATAGCTCCAAGAAACAGGAGGGGAGAGGAAGAACTAAATAAAATACAGCTAATACTAATAGATGATGACTCACAAAAACCATTCCCACCAATATTCTCTTCCCTAAGAACGTCTCTGCAGTGTGACTGACACTGCAAATTGTGCCCATGGGCCCCTTCACCCCCACACCTGGGCACAAAGCAGCTTCTGGCAGAGAGGAAATGGATGGGAGCTCTCAGTCTGCTGGGACTATTCCTCACTGGCACCCGGAGACAGTAAGATGCATGGAGCACTCCCTTCCTTGAGGAATTGAGCATCCAGACAAATGGAATGTCAAAGCTCTCTAATCTATTGCCTCCATCTCCCAGTCATTCTACCCATAGTGGCATAGTTGAAATAATTTGGCTACCCTTTTGATACCCAGACAGCACGTGGATAATTGGTGTTTATGCATCAGGCCCAGCAGCCCCAAAGAGGAAAAAAAATAAAATTTCAATGTCCTCTTTCTTCCCCCATCTCCCTAAAACTCTCACTTAATCAGCTCCCCATGACATATGATACCATGACCTGGAGGTGAAAGATTCTCATTAATGACAGAATTTGTCTGTTTTTGACTAGTTTAAAATGCCCTCTCTCTTCTTTTCCTAATTGCACTATTACCTTGTCATCATGCCTTTCATTCCCCATTTATAACCAGATCCCCTAAAGTGCCTCAGGTGAGGGACTTGGTTGGATTCTCATGTCTCTCCTTATCTCAGGGGTATGTCTGTGCTTGGCCCACTCAGTGTCAGGTGTCTGCTCAGCACAGACCTCCCACCCTCCCATTCATAAGTGGGCAGAACACAACATCCTGAAATTTCACACTCTATCAAAACCTGTTTGGGGAGAAGGCACGTTACATGAGAACAATAACGTTTCAGAGGTCACTGGTATCTATGACAACTATTTGTTTTGCTTTCCTCCTCCAGCTGTCCTCTTTGTCTCCATCAGCATCATTCCAGACTTTGAGAAGTGTGATGATGCTCACTGAGACATGCTTTCAGTAGCATAGAACCAGAATTTCATTCCTCCAGAGGGCTGAGGACACATTGAGAACTATTTCTACAATAATTTATTGACAACTGCTTATGTCATTTACTAGTGAAACTACACATTTTTTGCAAGTCTAATATACTGTTGGATATATATCAATTTTATGTATATAAAATATGTATTAATTATATATATACACTCATATCTTCAGGTTCAGCTATTAAAATGCAGCTACATTATAAGATCAGATTATAGGAATGACTGGCTGATCCTTATAATAGGAGGGATATATTTTATGACAAGCTTATATGAATGCATGTAGATATGAAAGACCACATGGGCAATGGGCAAACAGGGTTGGCACAGAGAACTGAGAGAAAATAATGAAGATATGGGAACTGACTCCCACGTAATTGGAGAGGAAACTGATGGAAAGGACACAAAAAACCAAGTCCAAAATTAGAAGGTTCCTGGTTTTCTGTATTTCTGTGTCTGCGATTTTTTTGAAGAACACTTTTGATTGGGAAAATAGCATTTCAACAGTCTTTTTGACTACACACACAAATGACTGCTACTGAGTTAAGAGTTAAAGTAGTTTGTTCCTTTCTTAAATCAACGCAATTTTCTTTCTCTGTGGTAAAGAATGCTTAGAGAAGTTTCATTATCTTTTTATAAACCTGATTAGGTCTTGCACTCTGCTGTTGAAGGCTTCCACTTGTGAGGATTTACTTTTCACTTCCTGTAATATCTTCAGTGCAGTAGAGTGGTTGTTTCCATCTGGGAAGCTGGAGATTAGACATCTGAAAATCATAGCAGTTACCCTCAGAAGTCCTGTTGTTAAACCTTCAAATACCTGCTTATTTACACTTCTGCCTGCAGTAGCATTATGGTCATCTGGAACACTAACCTAAGTAAAGAGAAAAAAAAAAGACAAACAACTAGAATTAAAAAAAAAAAAATAACCAAAGTTTGTAGAGAAACATTTAGAAATTTGCATAGGAGCACTAACATTCTAGCAGTGCTGACAGGCACTGAAGCATTTCAGGTACAAGAAAAGGCAGTGCAGATAATCCAAGCTGGGACAGAATAAAACAAGTCAAAAGAAGCATCAGAAAACTGAAGGAAGACTTACAGAAGCAGAGTATGTCATTAGTGTGATTGTGTTCTTATGCATAAAACATCACCCACTGACCAGTGCACTTGTCCCTCAGAGGTCAGTCACTTGTCAATCATGTCAGAAGCACAACATCCAGCTCCTCTCTGAGCAGACCTCAGAGGAATCCCATTTTTCTAAACCATTAACTAGAGCCCACTCCCAAAAGAGTGAAGTTGAGCTGCACAACATGTAAATCTGAAGACAGATCTATGTACAGGATACAGACCTGGAAGGAAATCATCCTGGAGAGTATAATTTTTTAAAAATTAATTAAATTTTTTCATTTCTGCAGTTCAAGATGATTTAACCTGCCCTGTTCTGATCAAACAGTAAGTGAAGTGTGTGTGGAAGTCCTGCAGTGTTGCAGGCACAGCACTGGCAGTGCAGATGCACCATCAGGACTCAGGGCTCCTGGCACATCTCCAGTGCCTGGTGCTGCTGGTTCCACACACCAACACCCCTCTGTGGAGCTACTGACAGCCAGAGGCTTCCCACACTGTCATCAGGGATCAAAACTGGCTGAAATCTTACTTCCATTCCAGGTTAAAATCATTTTATACTCAGTATATGCAAGCAAGGGTAGAGAAAACCAGTCCTCCCTGTATAGGTATCAGGAGGGATTTGGTAACACTTGGTGACAAAGAACAACATGCACATTTCTTTATTATTCATTAGCTCTGAGCCTTGTGCTGCTACTTAAAACTCATTGTAATGGTCTGTTTCTGGTGCCAAGCCAAGAGAGCAAGTGAGAAGTCTTTAGCTGCTTATTCAAGTTCAATAGGAAAAATAATCCCATGTTGCTCCAGTAACTTTTGTTGACTGCAATAATTCAAGCCTAATGATTCCAACTGCCCACTGAAACAGATGGATTAAGCTTTGCAACGTGTAAATCAATTTAAATGTGGCAACTTTGTACTAGGAACACTAACTTTTAAAAATTGCTAACAAACACTACTCACTGCTTTTTCACCCCAGGTAAAAAAATTATATATGTTATTTCTTTAATGATTTAATAATATTTTGCAGTAGGGGCTTCCATTTGCTGTAATGAACAGTTCTGTAAGCAGATAATGTCTATTTTTGTCTTCTAGTTCAATGTACACATGAGAATTTTATTTTCCAAGTATATAGCCCATACCTATAAAATTCATGCTTTAAAAGTAAAACTCTTCTTTCTAGTTTGTAAAATAAATAGATCTGACACTTAATAGAATCATTTGTTGCAGAGCTCATTTTTCACATTTAATTTTTGGGGAAAATGTATGTATTTGTTAATATAAAGTGAGAACAAGTGTGGGGTTTTTTATACTGTGTATGTCAGAGAAGACATAGAAGGAAATACTGTTTTACAGAAAATGGGTAAGTTTGAACTTAATTCCTTTTACATTTTCCTTTTATACTAACTCAAATAAGTGACAAAAGATCAGCTCTTTTACTGAAGAAGTAATTAATGGGACAGTGTGAAAGTGTGTTGAGATTTATGTTCAAAATTAATTGGTTTGCTCCCAGAAGCAAAATTAATTGGGGTGCTTGCTTGTTGATTATTATATCAAGCAAGGGGTAGGAAATCTTAAGATTTAATAGTGTAATCATGACAGCTTTCAAGCTCTGGTTTCTTTGTGATGATTTCACAAGGAGTTGATGATATTCAGAGAAACTGTGTGTTGAAAATGGGCTTTGGATGAGTAAATGTTCAAACATTCCATAAATCTGAGGTTTAATAGGTTTAGTAGGTTAAGTGACACAAATCTACAGATGTGATTACACAAACTGATTTGCTGATAACTGGTATAAAACATTTCCAAATCACAAAGGAAAATCAGGAAAAATGTCTAATTATTTGACACATCCAACATCTCAATGTAACTTGTACCCAGTTACTATTTTAGCTGTTATGATGACTGGCTGTGTCAGGCTCAACCAGGACTCTGCTTACTTTAAGTCAGTTCTTGAATCAGAACACACTGATGAGACCACACTCTCAGCTCTGGCACAGTCTCCATGCAACTGTGAGAGTCATTCCTCAGAGAATTCCCCTCGTGGAGGGATTCCCAGGCTTGTGCAGAGCTGCCATAAGCTCTTCAGCTCTGCCCAGCATCTCGGGCTTAATCCTGTAAGATGCTGCACAATATGGCCCCAATCCAGTAAAGCACTTAGGCACACAGTTAATATAGCTGAAAATGTTCCTCCCTTCTGACTCATGTCACCAAAATACCTCTGCACATCAAAGTAGTTTTCTGTGCTAACGAAAAACACCAAACATTTCCCAATTAGCGACGCAGAGCTCTGCCACTGGCAACTCACTGATGTTTTTATCTTGTAAAAAAGCACAGCCCTTCACAGTCATTTTAAATACAGAGTTGCTAAACCTAAATGGACCGACTTGAAACCTTTTGAAGCACCCAATTTCACTTTATTTGCTCACTTACTTTGTACCCTTCTCCCCTTAGCAGCGGTGATTTTGTGCTTTTTGCACGTGTAGTCATTGGGCTTGCCTCAAAAACACTCTGAAAAATGTCTACTTTTAAAACAGCATGATTAAGATGTCAGATTTTCTATGTAGTACCTAGTGAACTAAAGAAATGGAAATGGCCCAGGAAGTGCATGGGCTTAGCATGGTGCAGGTGAAGGTTCCACTTTTTAAACTCCCTACCCCCAAATGCTTCAGCAGGTCATAACTTCCTTCTGCTCCAGCCCTGTTTTCAGGATTTACTGCCCTCCACATGGTCTTGTTCTTAGGGCCTAAGGGAACTGTCAGTGCCACACTATGGACACAGATGTAATTCCAAAATGGACCAGAACAGCAGAGAAGCACAGACGTGCCTTGGATCTCACAATTCTTGCCACCATCAGTGCAAACATGGACCTGCCTTTTTTTGATGCAGTACAGATGATCAAAAAACCTGATCACAAATAAACTGCAATGGGATGGCTACTGTCATTCTGAAATACCCCAATTAAAAGGCAGCAAATTCCAGTGAAGAAACTGATGAGAAAAATTACTTTCCTGTGCCTAGACAGCCAGATTAACTTAAACCCACTAAGATTTCATAGATCATTTACCTACAATATAGTCCAGATTTAAGCACTGTATTTTGGAGAAGAAAAAACTAACAAGTAACTCACATTTGATTTCTACATTTGTTTGATTGCCACTTAAATTGCAATGTTTGTTGCACATGCTTTTACATCCACTAATGATGTTTTATTTAGAATTTTCAGATATTCTGCATTTAAAGATTGCCTCAAAAAATAATCACACTGATCTGTCATGATATCATACAGATAGGTATGGTTTTTATATATGGCTTTTCAGATATCTTCGTGGAAAGTACATGATAGCTGTCACTTGACTGGAAATAAAACCTCCAAACTAACAAACTGGCATTACAACGCTTACAGCTCTATTAATTACTTGGCTTTGTCACTGTGAAATCTTCCCAAATATAAAATCAGAAAAGTTCCCATTATTTTGCAACTGTCTTCTGGGTACAGGAGACAAAGAGGAGCAGAGACAGCAGTCTGTAAATAAATGAAGCTACACCCCGAGCACAGGACTTGTATGAATGTAGGTGGGAAGGTTTGAGCCATTAATCATGGAAATCAGGAAACACCAGTGCTGACCTCAACAGACTTAGGCATTACCTGAGCTAAGGAGGCTCACAAAGGTCAAATGGTAGGTAAAGTCTACAGAAGGTTTCCTACCAGTCTGTTTAGGTAGGAGATAAGGAAAGGTCTAAACAGGACACTTCAAACTACTAACCTGGGCAGGATGTCACAAAAAGAAAAGACAAATACAGTCCATCTGTTATTCTATAATTTCCCATGGGTACTTTCATTGGAGGAATTATTTTTTTTTTATAACCCTTCAAGCAATATTTTGAGGAGAAAAATGAACATTTTGTCACCAATGAAAAGTGACTGTTTTAAATTTATTCTTTAAAATGTACAGCTCTGAAGTAGTGAAGATGATATTGTAGTCGGTTGATGAATAAAACCAAAATTAAACCCACATTAAACTGGTTGGAAATGAGGTTCATGCTGGATGTATTTAAGACGATATTAAAATGTTTCTCAAAACCAGATTCTTTCTGTTTCTGTATTAAGTAAATACTGGCACACTTGTTTAACTGTTTGTTAAAACCTTGCAAATATACATTTTCATTTATTACTGGTATTACTTGGGCTTCATTTTCCAACAGTAAGTGGAAATACACACAACATGGGCAAAGGCTGCATCATCCAGCTCACCAAACCAGGAAAACTGGAAGCAGTTAAGTATTTTGAAGGAGTGTATTTCAGTATTTTGGTATTTGGAGCTGCTCTCTTTTTGTACATTTCTTTTTCATAAAAAAGAAAAATTCAAACTTGACCTGATTTATAATATTTTCAAGAGAGAAAAATCAGGGTTAGAAAAGCAGCACTGTATTTGGGTTTTGTACTCACACAGGTACCTCATGGAACTATGAAGATATCCTGGTTTAAGGGCCAATTTTGCATGAAGAGAACATAAGAGACTTTATGCACAGGAAAGAAAAGTCCACTGTGGATCATGGGAAACATTAAGCTTTAATTACAGTTTTGCTGCAATTCAAGGGCAGTATTTGGCAACAGACTGAAGTAAATTATCCTCCTGTAGCATCTCTGAGCTCTAGGTGGCCAACTTTGCCTAAGAAATACCCTCTGTATTCCTTCAGGAAAAGTGCAGGCCATTGCACAGCTGCAGGGAGAGAAGGGTAGGGCTTTGGCAGCAGAGTGAATCCTGTCACTTGTGAAGTGCTGAGGGATTTCCCCTGGGCTGGAATTACCCCCAGCCCTGCAGAGCCAGCAGTGCCCAGCACAACACACACACCTTTCACTAAGCACAACTGAAACCTAATACCTGGAATCCTCTTGGAAAGATTTGGTGAGGAACAATGAGCTGGCAGCTACTTAGAGGAGAATGCACAGGTTGCATTTGGGTTTTCTTTGTGTCGAGGACCCTCGGACTATCTTTTTAAAGTGTTCCTCAACAGTCCTGTGGCTGTTGATTCCAACAGCATCACCTAAATTATTAAAAGTATGTACATAACTTTTCAATTAACAAACTGCTTGGCTCATGAAAATACATACACACAATTTATAAGCAGAAAACCAAGACTAAATATCTTATGATGAGCAGGTCACTATGAATTAAAAATGAGTTTTCAAATAAAATATTTAATGACATTTCAAATGAGATGTAACATCAGAAAATTAAAACTTTCATCGTTAAAGAGTCCTGCTATTTAAGCACTTCAGCAAATCACACTTTGGCAACAAATTGACCTGACTTGGATTCCTGACACTGAAACAAGTAGAAATCAAATACACATGGACAATTCACAATATTCTGTATTTTAAATATTCCTATAGAGCGAATTAAAGAAAACAACCTCAGAAAATGTTAAAAATAGAACAATATCCACTCAGTAGAGTTCCTGGAACGTATGTTTTTGCAGATCTTATTAGTAGAAGCAAATATATCCATTTCTACAGAGTATAGTAGATAAAGCCACCAAATACATACAACAAAAGAATCTTATTCTTTCAAGCCTTTATTCTCATTTATCTCCTGGCATTCTCATCTAACTACCTGAAAATGTTTGTGAAGCATACAAAAATGTCAAAATTAAAAAAGCTGTTTTACATACCGTAAGCTGGTGTATCAACAGGTCCATCAGAAAAGTGACCTTATTACTGAAGAGAACATAGGTGCAGTTTTCTATGCAGTTGCTGCAGGTGAGGCTGTAAACATTTACTGTACTGCACAGTGACCTAAAAAGTCAGAAGGGAAGAAAAATTAGAATTTTAGGTCTTTTTCTTCAGTAAACTGAAAGCAAACGAATGGCAGCACATCACAAAACAACCTTTCAGCAATTCACAATCATTTTCTTCAGCTTGGGATTCCAAACAGAACTAATACCTTAAATGAAATCAATTACATAATTAATAACTTCAAAACAGTAAGGCCCTGCTTATCAGAAATCATGGACTGTATGGGTACTGGACTCTTCTGCTCTCAAAACCTGTACCAAAACTTACACAGAACATCAGCCAATCTCATGATTTGGATATGTAATTTTATTTTTTGGTGGCTTACAGCTGTAGCACACAATCAACTTGGGTATAAGGTCCCTTTCCTGGCATGACCTCCCAGCAGTGCCTGGGCACTAATGTAAGGAATGGGGGTGATGGAGGAACTTGTCCTGAGCAACCAAAAGAGCAGGAGAAACTCCTGATAAACCATTCTGACCCACTGGGGGGAAGAGCTGACAGGTCTGCAGTGGTCACAACACAGAATCACAAGCACATCACACACAGTGATTTCCATCTGCTCCAATTAAAGGGTTCTCAAAACAGGACTTGCAGGGAAACAGGGACCAGCCCTATGGAATATACTCACAAAGAAGATTAATCTGACCGGAGAGAATCCTTTTCCAGAATAAACACAAAATTCATTTCTTGAACTTTGCTTACTACAAAAGCTATCACTGTTAATATACAAACACACACAGAGACACACAACACAAATGCATCGTAAATATATCCAATAATAAATACAGATGGCTAGACATTCAAGTTGTTTGTCTAAAGTAAACCAAAAGGAAAAGAATTTTTACTTTGTTGGGGTTTTTTCAACATGTGAAAAAATGTGACTCAGTTCAAATAAGCTGCATAGAAGAAAATAAATTGTGAGCACTGTTGAAAGGTCATACAAAAGTGGGACTGCAACAAACACCAAGTTACTGCAGTGAAATCATCAAAGCTGGTTATTTCACAGAACAAGCTGCAGACTGATTCAACATACTTCTAGAGACGAGTTTTACGCCTTATCTTTCTCCTGAAATATTTTATGAAACAACAAAATTATTTAGGCAAGAAGGAATGCTGCTTTACTGACTGCTGTGTTCATCACTGAGGCATCTGGTCACTTAGCCTGACTCCCCAGAGCTGAAATGGAAGCATCTCACATACAGACATTGTATTTCTCAAGCTAAGAAAAGCCAGAAACGCTCAGAGGCCAGAAAAATTAAGAGTAAAATTTTTTTCATTTGTATGTCTGGATTGCCTTTGCTTCAGCTGGAGAAATAATTTTGAATTTAGGAAAGAAGCAAGAGAGCATTTTTACTTTTCCTCCTTTTCTGAGTACCACCATGTTACCAAGACATATTATTTTACTGTACTGGTAATGAATTTTACTCTGTCTAATTAAATCAGTTTCAATCTCCAGTTCACATGATGTGAAAATAGTATTAAGTAATTAATTTTTGGTCAAAGGCAGGTTAATTTTCACCTATTTCACCTGATTTTTACCCAATAGATAATTCAAGCAGCATGCTTCATGTGCATTTATTAATTGCCTTGCAACACAATTCTCTTTTCCTATCCTGATTATATAAAGGTATTTAGTTCCCTCATGCTAAAAAATATTTTCATTAGGCACTTACTTCTACCTTTCACAGAAGATTATTCTCCTGTGTAGGTGTATTCACAGGGAGAAAGAGATGAAACTATATTGGTAGTCTCTATTTTCTGTTGAGAAGATGCTTAAATCAGCTTCTCTCATTTTATCAGCTCTTCTAAAATAAACATCAATCCCATTTCAATATAAACATTATAATTCACCCAAAGTGTCAAATATGAATTTGTAGGTTAACTTTGACAGCACTTCAGAGTTCTGAGGTGATTTAGTTAAATCACTGCAATAAATGCTTTCTGATATATGGGATTCCTAATTCCTAAGAGGATCATTTATTTTACATTTGAAAACACAAGAACTTCCCACTTCATGTAAGGAACAAATTCCGCGGTAGCCACGCGTCACGCTCTCCTATTTCCCCGCTGAACCTCGGTGTCAGAAAGAATACTCGTGTTTCCAGAGGCTCCAATAATGCAATTTGAAAAGGTGCTGTAAGCAAATGGATGTCAAATTAATTTTTCAGCACAATAAAGAGGGCTCATTTAATTGATACCATAAGATTGCTCACTACGGCTCGTCTGAACGCATTCTGGGCACGGCACGCGCCGGCTCCGCGCTCTGCCTGGAATTCAGCGCTGGGAGTGTCGGCACAGAAGTGTCCCCAGGTGGTTCGCAGTGTTAAATGGCAGATTAAAGACAGCACAACTAATTTCTTTACTTTAATCTTATTAAGGGAACAACAGCTGTCAACTGTCACCATTTCTGCACGAGGCCTCCGAGACGAGCGAGGGGCTGCGAGTGGCGAAGGCAGAACTTTGTTTAAATGCACCTTAAATGTGCTGGGGTGGGGAACTCAATGCATCTCCAGTCATTTTCTTCCCTTTTGGAAGTTCTTAGCTGCTCTTAATTCCAAACCTGTTATCTCAGGAGATATCAGAATCAGTTGAAAGCCCAAAGCCCCAGGCTCCCGTGAAGCAGGTGGTTATTGATTACTGATGTTGCTCTAAACTTTGTATCACACTCACAAATCAGCTTTATAGCTCTGTAAACCCCAGCCCCACAGAAAGGCTGCCCTCTGAAGCAAGGCTTTCCTCCAGAGTAAATCCAATTATAACACACTCATTATGGTACACAAACTTTGAGACATAACAGAAATCTGTCCTTAAACTAGACAAAAATATGTTACATTTATTTTGCATGAGTACAAAGAAAAGGAGGAGGATTCCTTTTAATCCAGCTAGGTCTCAACAGTTTATATGTCTGCACGTGAATTTCTTTCATGCCAGCACATCTTCACTTTCCTCAATTTGCCTGATATAAACAAGTTGACAAACTTAAACTTTTATTAAAAATACTGAGGCATCAACAGTATGCAACCACACAAAGCTAATCCACGACAGTGCACCAGGATACAGAGGCAAGAACTTAACCTCTGCTTTACAAAAATCAGGGCATCAACATATAACAACTAACCTGTTTCAAGTGTAAAGCTTTTCCTTATTAATTACAACTTCTGAAGACTATAAATGAATGCACTTTGATTACCACTGAAGAAAATAATCCAAAAAGCTCCATTTGGCAGTGAAATAATACAAACCTAAACATTATCAAATTTAGACAAAACTCAGCATCAATTCTGCTTCAAGACACTTCCAAAACCAGAGAGAGTTTCAATCTGAAATGTTACTGTACTTATGAATAAACTCTTGGATGACAAGTGACAATCAAACAAGTAATTTGCCCCAATATTTACAGGTGGGATAGAATTTGGAAATTTTTTACCAAAATTCTCCAGTCCCTGGCTTATCAATCATTTCATTGCAAGACCTGGCTCTCAATCCAAAAGTTTCATAACATTTTACAGAGCTGCTTTCAATATTCAAACTTGTTCCTATATTGCATATGAGGGCAACATCTCTTTATTCCTGAGCCCTGAGCCCCAGATCCAGCTGAGACAGACAGTGGGAATGTATCATGGGAAGGGACAGATGCTGCAGGTTTCAGATGTTGAACTTGCACAGTGGGCATTCTCTTTAGAGTGTCTTTATGTCCCTGTACCAATTACTGCTAATTTCTCTACCTGGAATAACCTCACATGAAAATGAGAAAACTTGTTCTGCATTTCATGTAAAAAAAGTTGTGAACAATCCTATAAAACTGCATGAACAGTAACAGAGCAGCTTTAGAACTGTCTGCTCATAAATCCAAGTAAAAATTACACAGAACAAGGTATAAAACCAGTTCTTAGTTCAAAATAGTTCTTACTGAAAAAAGTAATTTGTATCAATTCCATCCATAATATTAGGGGGAACTAATTGCTTTTTCTGTGTGTAATTACGGTTTGAGCTTTTTTATCCCGATAATATTTGCTTTAAATAAATGATGCAAGAAATTGTATGAATATAAAGATACATAACAATAAACCTGAATCAAAGTATTTCACAAATGTTAATTAAACAAACCCTACAAGCCTCATTTGTTAGCAGGTTTGTTAGGTTGTCAAGGCCAGTAAGGTGTCATGGCACAAAGGGGCTGAATGAGTTGCCCATAGCAAAGGTGCAAGACAATCAAGGGGATGAGACTCATCTCTTGGCAATAAATTGTTTTGCTGTGCAGCTCCCATTTGCTCTTCAGTGGAAGTGTAAGAAAAATATCAAAAGGCTCTGAAGTCCTTAGAACTTCTGCTGAATACGGCTTATTTTGTGGAGAACTGAACAAATTATGGAAAATTACAAAATGCTGCTTTAAGAAGTAACATGGCTGGACATTAATTTTTATGTTAACACCAATAATAAAACTTACTGTAACCCACTGCTTTCTCTTTCCCTTTTTCAGTGATTTATTTGAAGGGGAGAAAAACTGCCCCAACACCAAATGTATCATCTGTCCCATAAATGTCACGTCTCTCTCTCTCAGCATTTCCCGTCCTGCTGCTCTAACTACCAATCTGGACAGTGGCACAAAACAACAGGCACATTGTTAAATCTTCTGATAATAAAGCTTTATCTTGTAGACATGGGATTAAAGTTCTGAGCTGCACCATACTGCCAGGATTTTGGAGAAAGAGAGATGTAGATAATAGCCCGTGTAATCTCCTCACCTACTTGTAAATAGCTTATCCTCATCACAAAGCAACAGACAAATGCCCAATTTAGGATGGGTACAAATGGTTAAACATTGCACAAGCACACAAACAATCTGAAGTACAGTAGTGTCCTTTAGCTAAGTGTTTTTGGCTGAGGGAAGACTGGAGGGCAATTCATGAAAGGTCTTAATTCAGCTTCTTTCCACAGGGCTTTGCCTTGTCTTTAAACAGAGAAAACTGCTGCCTCCCTAGGTTCACATTTTAAGAAGTCAGGAGGTAAATGATATTTGCACAGAAGAAAGAAAAATAATTTCTAACTCATTTCAAAATTAAATGAGGAGAAATGTGATCTGAATTTTCTCCCTCATTTAAAGAACTACATATATTCCATGATTATCCTTTGGTTTTGAACCTCCCTCAAACACTCTGTATATGAAAAATCTGCTAAATCCTTTCGGTGAGACCATAGCAATTCCCATGAACATGGTTTGTGACTGGTTCAAAGTGCTCATAGCAAGTCCCACCCTCTGGAACTGCTGCTCACTCTCAACAGTTGAGGTGCAGATTCTGCACAAAACATTCTCCTCTATCAAAAAGACCACAAAATACCAAGAGAGGAGGCTCTGCATCCCAGGCAGCAACACTGAGTTCCCTGGGACACTTCCAGCAGACTCCAGACTCCCTAAGTCAGACTCAAGCAATCAGAAAAATCCTGCAAGAGCAGCGAGCTTTAGAGAGCAAGATCCTGTGTCAAATTACGTGCAACTTGATGTATAACTTCCCAAATTCAACACTACAAACTGGAGACTGCACTCTGCAGTGCAGCTGAATGAAATGCTGTATTTCAGGAGGGCAGCAAAGCTCTTCAGAAGATGTTTTTAACACACAACGCTGTCAGAATGGTTTATATTAATCTCTTTTCTGCCCCCATATTTCTTTTGAAAATACAACTAGTGGAAAACTTGTGTTAATAAAACAATGTTTAGAGAATTTTTATAATTCAGTCATGAACAGGTTCAGGAATCTGAGAAACCACTGGTCTGAAATGGGTATGAGATAGACAGCGACTGTCACAGGGAGGAGAACCTCTAATCAACTCTTTGGATGTGACTTCTGTTATACAAGGGTGGCTAACATGGGGCTTTATTTATTGGCACACAAACTCCTTTGAGAACTAATATATCCTCAGACTGTCTAAGAAACTTCAAACAAAATGTCTGAAGTAATGTAAACACAATGTTCTCAAACCTTCTCAACAAAGCAAGACTACTCCTAAAATGAAAGGACAAAAACTGAAGATATATAGAAGGTGCCCATTCTAAGAAATTAAGGCTAAATCTACACTGTGTGGGCACAGAGTGCAATCCTTTCCCTTGCAAAGTTTATCCCACATTGATGAGATAACTCAAAATTAGAGACTCTGTAAATCAAGGAGTCCAAAGGCTGCCCCTGAGCTGCTCACCACGGACCCAGCTCAGAACTGTTCACTGCTGGAGCTGGCTGGACTTGCAGCAAGTGCATTCAGCATGACTGAGAAGGCAGGAACTTTATTTATTTTCTTTGAAGCGCAAATTAAAGATATTAAAAGCATGTTTTTTCCTTAGTGCTCTTTCCCAGCACTTCACAGCTGTCCTGCAACATATTACGGCCAGTTTTAATCCAGACTCTTGCAACGTAGTGCATAAATTCCAATTATTTCAATATTACAATCTATCTACAAACAAATGACAACAGTGGTACACACCAGGATATCCTGGGTTTGGTTTCTCTTGTACTAAAACCACGCCCCAGCTCTGCTCTGAAAGCACCTATGTGCTTTTGACTGTACAAAAACTACAGTTAGAGATTGGGGAAAAGAGCATGCTTTTGAGTTACCAGACTTTGTAGGCATTCTGCTTAGTCACCACTTTTTGTTAGGGATTAGATATTTAAACCTCTCCATTCATACATTGTATAAAGAGGAATTTCTCTAATCCACAAGAATTTTGTTTTACCTGTTTGTAGGAGCCCTTTCAGCAAGCAGCATCTTACAGTTATTTAATTGTAAAAGCAGTCAGACTGGTGAATTACAACCCTTTAAAAAATTCTCCTGCTTCCCACTAGAGATCCTTACAGACTAACTTCAAAAGATATGTATCTCCTCCTCTGTTTAACACAGTTTTGTCTTCTCTCATTTTGTCCAGTTAGGGATGCTGCTGCTCAAATATATCAGAGCTCAAAATAGGAAAGCAGAGGGTGAGTGGAAATGCCTTCCACCTTCCAGGGCAGCGTAGAGCACAGCAGGAGTTTTATTCCAAAGTTCAGCAGGGGGCTATGAGGAGAAGAAGCAGTGAAGCAGCAGATATGAATACTGGAGTGATTCTAAGTGGCAGGTGAGGGCCCCACCATACTCACTTGAGGGGGACCCGGGAAGCTGCGCTCGGGTTGGAGGGAGAAGTCACCACTTGCAGAACATTTTCAAGGGCAGTCAGTCCTCCTGCAGCCCGGAATGCTATTTTATCTGCTGTGTTCTAGGGAAACACAAACACAGAAGAGAACCAACAGAAATTAAAGAAATTGCTAAACAAAAGGTATGCCTGACAGTCGTGGATCTTCTCACCGTAGGAAGTCCTTAATACATTTATTTATCATGTTGAACACCTTTGAAAAACAGCATTTCACTGCTCATGCACTCCTTAGAGCAGGAGTTGAAATTCTCAGGTGTTATTTTTTTCAATTATTATATGTACAAGTATTTTTGTATTTTCATATTTACATATTTTCAAGTATCACATGTACCTATCGAGTACTACACAGGTAATACACTGGAATACCATATTTTCTGTAATGACATACAGTTATGGGATTTTAATGAAGATAATCTTTATCTGTTTACTATTATCTTTGTAACTGTATTGTTTTGTATATGATTTAAAAAAACAGACAACCCCTAATATGAGTAGTGCACAAAATAGCTTAGGCAGATCTCTTTATCCTTGGTGTCCACTTGGAACTTCCACTTAGTAGAATTTTACTCTTAAACACCATCCTACCACTATTCTCACCATTTGCAAATGACTGAGGTTTTGCTGGAGCAGGTCCAGCATTTTAGAACTGACACCCTTTTCCTTTCCTGCAAAATTGCTTTTATCTCCTACTGTTTAAAACAGGTAAGATCTTCTTTTCTCTGCTTTTAAGCTGCTAATTTTGTATAACTTTATTTGCAGTTTGCATTTGATCATCTTGATTTTGTCAACCATTATGATATTCTAGTTAATAAGGAATAATTTCTTCTTTTTTCCCCCAATGCTGCAAGCACTTGGCATGTGGGAAAAAATGGGGGGTCCTCTACAAAGACAATAATTATTAGTCTGTAAAGAATGTATTCTACTGTAACAGACTGCATAGCAGAAAAAACTTCCAGTGACTGACAATAAAATCTTTATTTGAACCACTAGAAAAATAATTAACCAGCTACAATATGATTTAGATGGACTACATTTTTCTTTCAAGCCAACAGTTGTACTGTATTTAAGTTCCTAGCTACAGAAAAACTGTTCACAGAAGTCAGATATTCAAAAAGAAAATATTTTCCACAATTAATATGAACTGAATGTAGATTTTTAGACAGCCAAAAGGTTTACCTCTTCAAAGGAATAACTAGCTTTAAATGAGTGGAAATCTCTGTGCCAACTCACCAAGCAGTTAAGAAAATAAACCACTGATTTCCTACAGGCTAACTGATAAACATAACTTATAGCAGTTAATTTTAGCTCAGTTAGCCCGCTAAGTGTGCCTTAACTGAAGAGTTATTTTTGAGTTTCATTCATATATTCTTCCTCTGCTTCCTCTTCCTCCTTTCCATCTAAAAAAACCCCCCAAAAACCTGCCTCCTTAAGCCACCCTTGGCTCCAAACAACACTTTCCACTAAACTCCTGATAGAGCCGTAAGGAAAAGACCCAAAGAGCAAAGAAACAGTCGTGCTACAAATCATTATTTATTGAGATTATTTGAGCACCTTTGGCCCACGGCCACAGTTCTCAAACCTGCTCCTCCAGCAGAGCAGGGCAGCTCCTCCAGACAGAGCCAGGGGCTTTTCCAACCTATCCATGTCCACCTCAGCTTAGAATTCCCCAGGTGGACAGAGGGATTTGGTGAGTTCAGGTGGGCATTTCCCCCAGGGATGGACACAGGCCCTGGGCAGTGCAGGATCTCGGGGTCTGCCCGTGGCACTGCAGCACAACAACAGCCACGAGACGCTGCTGATTCATTTGCTGCAGCCTGTTTGTTAGTGCTACTCCAGTTTGAAATGTGCCCAGCACTTTCCACTTCTCACTTTCCCCATTTCTCATGGGAGATTATGCCACAAGCTATTAGCTCTCGTGGCAAGAAGTCTTTCCTGTCATTCAGACCAAATATGCCCTTTCTCTATTTCATCCCGTTACTCTTGAGTTACATCCCATTTATTGCACTCATTTTGTTTCTCCCCTCAGCAACTTCTCCATTCTTGCAATCGTACACTGCTACATTTTCCTGCTTGGCTTGTTTCTCAACTCTATAGTCTTTAATGCTAAAGCCAACCTTCTCTTTTATATTTTTTTAATGTAAACTTCTCTTAGCTGTGATTTTTTCCCAGAACTCTTCTCCATAAATATCTAGCAGTGAAGCATCCAGAAAGGAACTTCCCTCCCCCCTGAATCAGTCACCAGAGTCACAGTGAAAGAAGCAACGTCTCCCTATTCTGAGAGGAGATGGTCATCTCTTCAAAAAGAATATAAACCTTTTGAAGCTGTTTGATTTCCTATGTGCTCTCCTTCCACTTCAATCTGGAGCATCACTTCTTTTATGGACAGACTTTTTTCAGGGTGCCTGGCTCACTTTTGTCTAATACTTCACTAAAAACACAAGTACACTTGTCAAAATACACATTTAAATTTCAAAAACTTCCATCACTACTACAGTTTTCTATCAAGCAGAAGCAAGTTTGTAATCTCTCCTGATTTTATATAATTTACCCTTATGTCCTATTATTCCTTTCTCTAGATTACTCATAAAAATTCATTAGCACTTGACACTTATCCATCATGAAAATAAGTGCACCTATGTACACGGAAGAGAGGGGTAAAAGTAAAAGTACGACACAACCAGCAGCAAAGCTGGGGAAGATCCAGGAGCACAGTATTTGTTCCCTGTGCTTACACAGGTCTACAAAACTGCCATGTAGAGATTAGGGATTCATAACTTCTGGCATGGTATTTAATATATTTATCTCCAATGATTCTTTTAAGATGGAGAACTCCAGGGGCTTTTAACCCATTTATTGGAAGACAACGTTGATCCCAAAGTAGCTGCTGGTATGTGGTGCTTGTGAACGACCTTGGACACACTGCAAGTGTCCTGCTTTCAGGAATTCCAGGTTCAGGCACAGCTCCTTGGGCCAGGGGAACTGAAGGGAAAACAAAGCAGCAGAAGGGTCACTTGAGTATTGCACTGCTGATGTTTTCAGAGTGAACACTGTGGGACTACAGCACCAGAGGAAAGAGGGAAACCAGGAATTGTCCCTCAGCTGTCCATGATACAAGATCTCCTCCTGGTGAGCCATGGATAAAGAACACACAGCATTCCATCTCCCCAGTGTTGAAACATACTGTTATTCTGTCTCTGAAGCAGACAAACTATACAAAATACGTCTGAATTAATTCCTACGGGAGGCAATTTTCAGATTTTAACTATTTTTTGTATCTAAAGAAATCTTTCTTAGACCATAAACATAAGGGAGCAAGGTATGTTATCCAATTTGTCTTTCCAAAATTAACCAATATCCTTGAAAATATCATCCAAACTCACTTAATGTCCTGTAGTGCTAAAGTTTTACGCTAGGTGGTACATATTAAAACATAATAGAAATGCAAAAGAAGGGGACTGAAGCACCTCAGTTGTTCAAAGCCCTTGTTCACATAATATTCTTATTTAAATTGGTCCCCATCTGAACACATGGCAGAAAGAAAGACCCTTTCAGGTAACTACAGCTTTTACTCTGGTGACACTAAAGCTCTGAGGAGATCAGGCATCATATGAGTATGAAAAATGATAGATCCTGCAGGGAATAAATATTAAATTCCTATTTGAAAAGAGCTTAAACCAGCACTGAATGTTTTGGTTGCTTGAAAGAATCCTCCAGACTTCTAACGTAGTCTCCCAAATGACTGAGCTCTCCTGTTTATGAAACCCATTTCATAATTTCACTACAGAAACTGTTCTTTGAGTGGCTGCACATTTAGATTTGGAGGGTTATTCAGCAAAGGCAACTCATATAATGGGATTCACGTTCTTTGAGTAACAGAAAATACATAAACATGGTTTTACACATTGTTTTTAAACAGTGTGTAAAGATTTGACTTGCTCATATATATTTTCAGAAATTCTCAACTATTTTTAAACAATTTAACTTGTAAATACAGAAGGATTTCAAGGCTCTGACATTACCTGGTGACACAGGAGAGGGGAGACAAATGAACATGTAGGCAAAAATGATTATTACTGTCATCTATGCATTTTTTAACAGCGAGGAGGAGGCGCAGAAACCTTGGGGATGCCACCTAGATGTGTCTTAAACATCAGAAAAACAAAACCAGAGATGCAGCCCTGAGAAGAGCAGACACAGCACTCCAAACCAATGCATGAAGAGAGTCTTGTTTTCCTCATCCCTGCCAAGCCCACCGTTGTGCAGTGCAGAGGTGCTGTTGTGCAGGGGGAAGGTAACACAGCTGCTGTGACACCAAGTGGGTATTCTTAGTCTCTGGACCATCACAAACTTGTCATGTGAAGCACACAGTCTCCAACTTCAGAACAGTGCACGAATCAAGGAACTTAGTGGGAAGTGTGTGTACACTAATGTATGTGTTACACAGTAAACAGAAATCACAATAAATTAGACAAACCATGTAACCATTTTATGGATCGACTGTGAATTAAACGTGTTTAGAAACTTAAAATTAATCCTTTAAAAAAACATGTGTGACATACAATCAAGACAACTCCCTGCACACTGGGCAAGTGTGGTTGACTTATTTACCTACCTGTTACAACACCTTAATGGATCTGAATTCCCCTTCTCTCCTATGGCTTGAGTGACAACTGACTAATAGGATTACAGGCTCTGTTCCAGTAATACAGCTCAGCTACATGCCAGCAAAAAATGACAGCCTAAACCTGAATTACATGGCCTGGGAATCCATCCAATTATTAACTAAAGTAACTGTTATTACCTAACCTAATCAAAGGAGAAGCAGCTGTTAATCTTTGGTGGCCTGCAGTGTAGTAGCGGTCAGACTGGATGGACTGTCTTTGTACTTGACTCCTCTACAGACAATAATTATGTCCTTTGTGATCAAGAAGGAAGGGCTTCCTAACCTTTCAGACAGAGGCAGCAGATGGGGAACAACTGTTTGTGTGTTCATTAACAAGATAGGGTAGATTTTATCAGGACTTGGCATCTGTGGCACCCTCAGAAGCACCACTTACCCGGGG